ATATCAAAACATGATTTTTTGATTAGTAATATGTATTGCTAAGGACTTCATTTGGACAACTTTAAAGGCGATTTTCTCAATATTTTGATTTTTTTTGCACCCTCAGATTCCAGATTTTCAAATAGTTGTATCTCGGCCAAATCCTATCCTAACAAACTATACATCAACGGAAAGCTTATTTATTCAGCTTTCAGATTTATTTTGAAACATTTCTTTTAAAAATTGACACTTAAGGGGCCGTTCACATGTTGCGCCTAAAACGCGTGGAAAACGCTAGGCGCGCCGCTTTCTGCTTTTTTCCAAAGCGTTCGGGCGCTTGCGCTCCGGAGGCGTCTGCCGTTGCTAAGCAACCATGACCTGCGCTCTCCATGAAGACACGGAAGTTTCAGCAAAGGATAAATGGATTTGCAGCACTAAAAATCGCTTGCAGTAGCTCTGCTACTAAATTTATTTTAAAAATGTCTATCCTGTACAGCTATGATCAGCTGTTCCTTCATCTTGGCTGAGCCTTCAATGTTGTTACGGGAAAGGATGAAGCTGATTGGTTGGTTCTTGTCACATGACCCGCGGTGCGCTTGCGGCATTCTGAAAAGTTGAAATGTTTAGCGCGCCAGCCGCGCGTCTACATTTGAAATAACGAACTTGAGCGCGCAAAAGACGTGATATGTGAACGGCCCCTAAGACTGGTTTTGTGGTCCAGGGTCACAAATAAAAGGCTAAGTGCAAAAGTTTGTGAATTCATGTCATTTACAGAGTGTTCTGTATAATTCTTAGATGCCGTGTATAACTAAATCAACTGGGAAAGTGTAGTGCCATGTAAATGCTGTTGAATAATGAGCAAAATGGCCTACGATGAATGCCTAGACCACATATGTTCATAAAGAGCGGCTCTCGTTCTCTGTTTATCTCTGGCTCTTCTGAAGAGTGCATAATTTGAGCTCATATCTGAAGGAAACGGACAGCCACCTGGTGTGGGAGCATTTGAGCAGATTATGAGGCAGATCTAAGAGTCAAAGGTGTCCTCCATTAGCCTGAGCTGTGAAGCTGTGATTCGGGTTCATCCAATACAGCCGCAGCGTTACGTCACCCGCAAACTTCCTCTGCTCCCCATTTCCTTTGCCTAAAACAGACTGGGACAAAATAAACTGGCCTTACAAGACCTCTGCTGCGTGTGTGGCCTATCAGGTAGACTATGAGCTGTGCTATTTAAAAACACTCGAAACCAAAAGGTTGATGACTTCAGTTTTTACTTCAGTTTTATGTGCGGTTTTAACTAATAGGTAGTTAGAAACAGAAAAGATCGGATGTGATTCAGAAATGACTATTTAGCTTTACTGAGAAGTTCATTAATGATCTGATGCACTGTTGTTTCCAAAGATGTTCACTGTCCATCAGCACTGGGATATGAGAGCAAAGGCCAGAGGCTGCTGGGTCAAGGGTCAAGGGTCAAAGGCCAGAAGGGTCATTACTCGCTGCTTAATTGGTGGACTACCCCAGCTGCATGCTCTACTTTATGTGAGCACAAGGACACACACACACACATTAAAAAAACTAGCACTGGATTAACTAAATCTGTCTGCAGAAGAAAAAATAAATAAATAAACATTTAACTGCTTCAGTAATAATATTAAACAAAAAATAAATAAAATATATCAATATAAGCAGCCTAGTTTGAACAGTGTACCTTTTAAAAATAATTTTACTCTCTCTTTACCAAATTTCTTCTTAAAAAAGTCTTACAAATAAATACAATAATGCATAAATAATGCAAACAAGTCATCGGACATCATTACTTGCGTGTAAAGAATCAAAATGCATGCGCCATGGATCAATAAAACGGAATAGCCTCTGCACGGACAATAATGAAATGATTTTAATTACTAAATCATATTGTTGATGAAAATAATAAGAGTAAAATAAAAGTGGTGGTGGTTATTATAAATAATGCATAAATGATTCTGAAAAAAGTAACAAATGAATACCACTGTTTTAAATAGCAGCATTGCTGTTCAAGCTGTGCGCTGTAGCTGAAGAGCTGAATGAACAGCGGTAAACCGAAGCGCTTGTTAAAGAGGGTTAATTATGCTATATGAGAATCAGATATTTAGAGAACATAAATATAATATTACAACTTATATATGCACAAAAAGACGGAAATGCACAAGTTATCTTGAACTAAGTTATGCGCAAGTTAGATCACTGCATCAAAAAAAAAAAGCCCATCAGTTACACATCTGTATTCCCGTAACAACGCGCTGAAACACGGCAAATAAACCCCAAAGAATTCACAACTTTTTATTACGGTAATTTTCTCTTTATAATGTTATGTATATGACAGTCCCAATCATGGTTATTAATGTTGTGCATTGCTGTTCAAGCTGCGCGCGCTGAAGCTGTAGAGCTGAATGAACACCGGTAAACTGCTTTGCTGGCAGCTTATTTAACTCAAGGAAATGCCTCATATGTGAGATTAATCCGATATTTATACTACATAAACATAATATTACAACTTATAGGCTATATGTACAAAATGGTGCTATAGTCAGAATGTACTGTTGTGGATGCGCTCTTCCCATTACAACTTGCCGCAACCCGGCAACGTTTTATTAGAATAATGTTCTCATTAGCATGTTATACACACGACATTCCCAATCGTAGTAAATAATGTTGTGCGCTGCTGTTTGAGCTGCATGCGCTGAGTTAAAGATAATCACCGGCAAACTGAAGCGCTCTATTAACGCACTATTAACTTAACCAGACGCATTATATATATATATATAAGAGATAAATCACATATACATCAAATAAACACAATATTACAACGTACAATTGCACAAAAGGCTGCAAATGCACAAGCAAACTTAACTGTCATGGAGGTGTAGCTCAACGCACGCACAAAACACGGACGCACAAAGATTCCACAACATTATTTACAGTAATGTACACATGATCATTTTATGTAGCCTTTATGACAGACTTGCCCTGCACATGTTGCACTTAAGTGTATTGTCCTTTTCAAAGTGATTCCAATCATATTTCAAGCATTTCAAAACCATCATGGCGAACAGCACGCATCTGAAGTGTCTCTAAAGGAAATAATGCATTATTTATGGGCTTTAAGATAGCGACCAAATTTTCTTATCGGGCCGATACCGATAACAGTGGCGCCACCTATTGTTGTGGGTGTATTATTGACATGTCAAAGTCTAGACCCTGAATATAAGACGACCGTGTTTTTTCAGATGTATTTCCAAGAAAAAAAACATTGTCTTATATTCGGGTCAATACGGTATATATATATATATATATATAAATAACTTCATTCATTCATTCATTCAAATGTTTTAATTACTACCAATGTTAAAAACAGTGTAATGTTGCTGCTTAATATTTTTTTGGAAACTGTGATATATTTTTTCAGGATTCTTTGATAAATAGGTAAATAAGTTCAAAAGAACAGAATTTATTTGAAATAGAAATCATTTGCAACATTATATATGTATTTACTGTTACTTTTGATTAATTTAATGCATCCTTGCTCGATAAAAGTATTAATTTCTTTAAAAAAATTCCTGATCCCACACTTTTGAATGCTAGTGTAATTTCAGTGCATGTTAGGAAGTGAATCAGCTCATGTACTTTCACAGTGTCACATTCTGACCTGTGCATTTCTGCTTCAGACTGTGTGTCTGCACTGCAGAGTGACTGCGCTCACGGTTTACTGTCGACTGCTACAAGAACTTCTCTGAAAGCCCAACACCATCCGTGTGCTCGGGCAGGCTGCAGCACGCAGTTTCATGCACTGATTTGACGGCTAAAGCTAGATACTGTAAATCAAAGTAATCCCTATAATTGTGTCATGAGAAGGAAAAATCTTTGCTCATACATAATGGAAACCTTTAGTTATCATTTGGTAATTTACTGCTAGTACAAAATGCAATTATAAGAA